AGGTTTCCCATATTCGTAGCTTTCTGCTTGTATTTCGCGCAGTAGGAAAATTTGATCCACTGTGCTGCGCCCTCTTCTGAATCCACATTGATATTCCCCTATGTCATTATCTATATTTTGAGGTAGCTTATCTTTTATATATACTGCAAGTATTTTATATGCAACATTTAGTAGGGCTATTCCCCTGTAATTGTGGCATAAACTTTTTTCGCCTTTTTTGTGAAAAGGGCACAGCGTCGCTTCGGTCCATTCCTTCGGTAATTTTTCTTGTTCCCATATGTCTTTTAGCAACTTTTCCAAATGCTTAATTAGTACTGGTCCTCCATATTTAAACATTTCCGCTGTTACTTCATCTCTTCCTGGGCTCTTATTATTCTTTAGTTTCTCTATTATTACTTTTATTTTCTTTTCGTTAGACGGTCTTTCCTCTATTCGTTCTTGATCGACATTTTCCTTCACTTCTTCTTCCTCTTCATATTCTGTTGTAGGAATATCATTTAAAAGTTCTTCAAAGTATTCTTTCCATCTGCTCAATATTTCTTCGTCACTTACTAAATTTCTTCTACTTTTGTTTTTTTTAGTGTACAGGTTTCCTTGGTACCCCTTTTTCTCATTTTTCACCCCTTGATATAAGTTTCTAATTTCTCTATTTTTATAGCTCTGTTCTATACATTTTAATTTATCTTCATTGCATTTTCTTTTCTTTGATCTTATTATTCTTTTGGCTCTTTTCCATTGTTCATTGTATTTTCTCTCTATCTCTATTGTTTTTTCTTGCATCATTTTCATTCTTAATTTATTTCGTTCATCTAGTTCCATTTTACATTCATCGTCGAACCATTCTTTGTATTCGTGTTTTATATTTATATTACTGGCCTGAGCTGCTTTGGTCATACATACTTTTATTTGCATCCATGTTTGTTCAATATCCCCACTTTCTGCAATATTATGTAATTCTCTACTGACTATTCTTTCATATTTATTTTGTTCCTCTTCTGTCAGTAGTCTCACAGGTTTAGTTGCTTTATACTTTTTCTTCCGCTGGCTTCTAAGCACTGGAATAAGTTGTTTCATTTGTATTCCAACTATAAAGTGATCTGAATCTCCATCTGGACCTCTGTATGTTCTTATGTTCTTTATAGATTTTCGCATATCTTTTTCGACATGCACATGATCAGTTTGGTTTATGATTTTCCCATCCGGTGATCTCCACGTTCCTTGGTGTATTCTTTTGTGTTTGAAGTACGTGCTCATAATGATCATATTTCTTTCTTTCGCGAAATCAATTAGGACGTGGCCATTTTCATTCGTTGTTTCATGCAAGCTGTATTTTCCTATGGTGGGTACATATATTTCTTCTTTTCCTATTTTTGCATTACGATCACCTAGCACTATTTTTACATCGTATTTGGGGATATTTTCGAATACTGTATCTATTTGATTATAAAAGTCTTCCTTTATTTCTATACTTTTGTCTTCAGACTGTGCATGTATATTTATAAATGTTATTTTTTGGTATTTTCCTCTTATTCTTAATACACATATTCTCTCTGAAATTGGTTTGAAGTCAACGATTAGATCTTTCAGCTTTTTATTTACCACAAAGCCTGTGCCTAACATTCTATTTTCTCCCCCGCTGTTGAAAAATCGAAGAAAAAGAAGAAAACTTAAACTACTTAGTCAAATTTAAAAACTTACCTCAATGTGTAAAAATTGCGTTTACGACTAGCACGTGTAAAAACTCGTAATGCACAAATTCGGATAACTTACTCTAGTGCCCTCGATGTTTTACTAGAGACGCTAAAATATTATTCGGCGACCTGGGTTCAGCTCCATGCTAAACTGGACATTGGTTTGTTGTTAATCAGATTACAGGTTTCTTTAAAAGAGAACTATCCGACAATCGGTAACTATGCGATATTATGGCACTTTACTCTACTACTTTAATATTCAAATTTACCTTAAACCGTTCTTTAAAGCCTAATGATTTCCTCCATTACTATCCAGTTTGTGTGCATTTTCTCTACCTAAGGAGTTCTACCTCTCTGAATGTAGTCGAATGTTTCTAAAGATATCCTAAAATATTCTCGAAATTTTCAGGGTGCATAATTAGTTTAGCAATTAAATGATGAAACTCTCCAAATGTCGCCCGTTCTATATTAATTTTGTGAATCCATTTACGTTTTCTATTTAAACACTTTTTGAAAATATTGTACTTTAACAATGAATTTTTCGCCAATATATATTTCAGTTTTCTTTCCATCGTCACGTCCGACAAAGAAAAGACTACGGTGGCGACTAGTTCACGAGCAAATCATTGTATTGACTACAGATAATGTAACGCATAGCATAGCAAAACATCGCATCGCTGATCGCGCCATAGCAGTCTGTGTGAACGTACAGTAAGTAGTATCCGCCTTGAAAATACATAGTCGTGAATAAAGATTTAAAATTAATTCACAGAAGATTAAAGTGATGATCATACTTAGGTTCTGTTATCACAAAAAATGGTGGATACAAGAAAGAAATGGCCAGATCATCATCCTCATCGTTAACCTGTATGCGTCCACTGCTGGACATAGGTCTCCTGCAGCTCTTTCTAACTGTCTCTGTCCTGTGCGGCTTGCATCCCGTTACTTTTAACACGCTTCAGGTCGTCAGTTCATTTCGTTGGTTAGTGTCCTCTGCTCCGTAGCGCTTCTTGTCTTGGTCTCCACTTTACAATGTTTTACAATGTTTACGATGTTTTGTCCATCGATACTGGCCAGATCAGCAACGGTTAAACTTACTAAAATCTGGAAAGATACGACCATTACCAAGAATACGAAACTGTGCCTAGTATGAGCGCTTATCTTTCCTATCACTAGCTATGCTGCAGAAACTTGGGCATCAAAAAGTCAGACTCACGTCGTATGTGGGCCTTTCAAATGTGGGTATATCGTAGAAAAATATGCGTACCCTGGACAACATACCGCACAAATATCTCAATATTAACAGAAGTCGACATCAACACTAGGCATACCACAATAATGATCTAAAATATATTGAGGTATTTTGGACTCGCAGCCAGAAAAAAGGAATGCACGGAGGGATTAATGGTAAATTAGATGGCAAAAGAATCCGAAGAATATCGCTACTCCGCTGTCAGATCAAATAAAGATCACTACCACTACTGGTTACTCCCTTTCTGAGGTAGTACAGCACGTCCAGGAGAGAAGAATTGACGGAAACCATCTTTTAACTAAATCAAAACAAAGATCTTTCAGGTTAGTGTGGAAATGTCCACTAGGTTTTACAGCGCCTTTGAAATCTTTACTCTACTGTCACAAGATTTGTGGCTCGTAAATAAAACTGAAAACGGTGTAGTCCGGTACTGTTCCGAAATCCTCTAACCAATTTCTCAATACGATTAGTAAAGTATCAGTTCCACTACTGATCAAAAAGTTGTTAGATTTATTTAGTGTTGGTATGATACGATGGGATATGTCAAGGTTGCTGAAATATACTATAGTGTTGACTATTTGTTGGTTTTTAACGAAGGCGTCATAACAAATGTATCGTATTTCGTTAATGTCATATCAAATTTTTGACGTTTGCTTTTTAGAATAATGGTATATTTTCAATTAACTAGGTATATAAGGATAAATAATCCTGTTCAACTTTATTCAGTCTCCAGTCCCGTTACAGTACATCGTACGATTTTGAATAGTCGTGTCTGATAAAAAACGATTTCTTGAATATTCATTAGATGACTTAACACATTACAGGTATGTCTATAAAAAATATGTGAATTTAAAGTTATGGATATTTATTTTAAATACAATATATGTTATTTTCCTATGTAATTACTTTTATTTGTCTTGTTTTTTATATAATGGTTTTGTCATTTGTTGGTTGTTTAACGTTATAGGGATCAATTTTCCGTTTTTCAATCCAATCCAAACGTTCATTTTCATTATTTATTTATTGGCACATGGCTATTAAACTAAGTATCAATCTATTTATATTTTTTGCCTTTTATCGTTGAATTACAAATACAATGAAAAATAGTTTTGGTTTTTATATCCCCTTGCATTTATAACCTTTAAATAAATAGCAGTAATCTAAGTATTTTCAACTTTTTGTCCTTTTGGAATAAATACATGCTTCGTTTATTGGATACATACTGGAGGCGAAGTCGTAAATACAAAACAGGCATTGTTGCAAGTATTTCCCAGTTTTGATGTGTTTATTTTTTCCCCTTGCTTTATTTATGACTTCATTTGAAGTCGGGCCATTGACGAATTTTCGGGAAGTCCGCTTGTCAATTCTGACCAAATAAAACGAAATCCAATCCGGTATGATATTAACTTATCTACTTTATGTTGTTAATACTTTTCTGAAAACACGTCATCGCCAGACTAATCAGTGATAACTACTTTCTAGTTATAGTTTAAAATAGTTACTTTGCTGCATCTATAGGCCAAGACATTTAAACAAATTGTATGTTTTTCTTGTATACTCATACTAAACAACAACTAATTTAAATATTAATGGACGGATTCAATGTTTTTGAATATTATTCAATGTTATAGGTACACATACAACCATTTCTATCTCGAAGGTAATAGAAGCACTACAATCTGTGAAGTATCCTGTGTACATTTCGTACAATGTTCGCTAAAGGAATCATTAGTATATGTAAAGTGACTAATAAAAAACTTGTATTATTCAAAGAAAAGAAATAAAGAAATATTAAATGAAACATTAATCATTGTATCAAGGTATGTATTGGACCCAAATAAAAATCGATCGCTTTAGTTTTGTGTGGTCGAAATTAGTGAAGCCAACACGACAAATAAATTTATGTGGAGGAAAATTATGAAACCGGAGGTTTTTATTTATTGTTCCAAGTTCCAAGCAAACTATGATATCCTGTAGTAATTTTGATAATTTAGATCTACAAACATTGACACCCCTTAGTATTAGTATTTTTACAGGTTAGACAAATAAAAAGTATATGGTTTTTAAATGTTTATTTTTTAATCTTTAAAAAATAACAAAATTTGACAATACTGCCAAGATTTGGTGCATTTACCAAATATATGAATTCCTCAAATCCAGACTATAGATATTTTTTTAAATAATGGCAAGTAATGTTACCGACATTGGCGTGAAAGTCACGACCTGAGGAACTCATACTTTGAACGAAACAACAGTAAGGTACTATATTGAGATGTACACAAACTCGACCCGAAATCTCAGATCAGTCAAGATCTAGTAACATTTCTAACAGTGCTAAAATACTCTTTAATACAGCTTTAGTTTGTTCTCTATACTAACCGAAGTTACAAAATATTAAATAATGGAAATGTCAACTAGTCTTAGAGACACTAACAAATACAAAATTATTGTAAAGATTCATACTTTCATGCAACACACTTAGAATAAATACTATACAAGCTTTCACAACATTCTGATTTGTTAACTATATATGATACAATAAATAACACAGAGTTACTGAAAAACTATGAGAATATAGCTTCAAGATAACCAATATTGATTCTTAAGATCATTTCTTATATATATGATAAAAGACATACAAAAATGTTAAATTTACATCAATACTTCAGCTTTTTGTACACTATTTAAATACTACTATTATTAACATATTTGTATTAAAGTTAACATTTTTGATGAACAACTATCATTTCAGTCTTTTAAATATCCAAAACCAGTCTGGAATGTTAGTTAAGTGGATATGTTAGTTCTACAAAGAACTTATTGCAATCTCGTGATGTATTTTAATTTGGAGAACATGTGAGACCACAAACAAATATAAAAAAAACAGATCCAGAATTAAAGCAAATTTAATTTACCGATGATATTATAGGTCAAGTCATTTCTAGTCAATTTGGAATAATTGTAATACTATTTGTCTCACCAAACTACTAATTTTCAGACAATGTCACTCTGTAATTTAGAAAATGACCAACAGATATAAATGTTGGTAATAAGTAGTTTGGTTTACTACTTTCGTTTATCTGGTACCGAATTTCTTGACATTTATAATTAACTGACAAATGTCTAGATTTTTTCAAAAGCCCTCCTTTTTAACGAAAATACCAGATATACAATTTCCTATCCAAAACTATGTTTAGAAACCCATTAGCCGAGTCGCTATATAGTAGATAAAACTTGCCCGAAATTATTTAGTTCAAACAGTAATCAATATCGGAAACATTGAACCAATTCCCAAATTTTTAAGATAACTTTTTTAAAACTAATTTTGGTCTAGATTTCCTATCGATTCCTCCATGTTCTTCAAGCTAATCTTGATGTTTTCTCATTTTGATTATCTCGCTATTATACTCTTTGGTATACACGTTAGCGAAAATAAATAAAGAATAAATATTTCCTAAAAACTCTTCAAAATGAGAATGAAGTATATTTGAAAATTGCTATGACACGTTCATATCTGAATTTCCTACTTAAAAAATACAATTTTCAAATCAGTTCTATTCGAAAAATCACAATTTTAAGCATCTATTCTAAATGCCTTTTAGAATACTACCGCAATAATAATTGTGCTGTTAGTAGGGTTGTTACTAGAGCTACTGCTGATTGGTAGGATGATGATGAGCTTGCCGGCCATGCTTCTATTGACTCTTCTAATCCACATTGCCTCTTTCCGTATTCTGTACAATGAACCTGTAACAAAAGAAAAGAAATAAGAATATGCTTCAAAAGACTAACAGTATTATCGAAGTGTAAACTTCTTTAGGCGACGTGTACTTTTTGGACAGGAAAAAAGCATTTAATACGTGACCTTCACCGCTACGTAAATTGGTCGCAAAGTCGCACAGCTCGAGAACGGCTCAACGGATCGTGACGTATAAGGTTTCGTTGGAAAGAAAAGAAGACATTAAAAAAGGGTATTACATCATATCTCCGTTGTTATTGGTTCGATTGGAGCATATAATGCGTTAACTGAAAGGAGGGGATAATGGTAATATTAAGATAAAATAGAAAACAAACAAGGCGACTACGAAAAGGGTACCACACCACATATCTTCGTTTTTAATCAACGTTAGAGAACTCTTAAAGGTTATAAAAACAAGAAAACGGAACATCTGTAAAAACACGAAAATATTACATCCCTCAATTAATTAAAAATGGTAAACCTGAAGAAAGAGGTGACCTTAGAAAAAAAAGTTGTACTAATTGAAAAACACATGAGAACAAATCAGGCTAGGCTTCAGAAACTTTGTGAATTTATACCAACAGTAGAGGACGGGGAAGGTTTGCCAGAGTATCGCTATCATCCATTGATGGAGATAGCAATCAAAGAAGAAGCAAAAAATAGCATAACTCCACATAATCTAATCTTAAATTTCAATTTATAGTTATGTATTATTTTGTTTTTGAAGGTACGCTGACAGACTCAATATATCGAAACGACATAATTATATAAAATACAGTTATATGATACAGACCCTAGAAGAAATGTAACCCAGTTCTTAATATTTAAGAGTGTCGCAAGGATAATCATAAACTACGGGAATATTTTATTTACATTCATAACAAAATACCGACGCAAATTAGTAGATAAAAACACTACAATCATAACCCAAATGGTAGCCAATAATATTTGGAGTAATTCCAGGATACATAAACTAAAATAATGACATTGAAGAAAGCAAAGGGGATACTTTTACAGTCATGTTCAACGTCTTTCAACTATATTTTTTTCTTACAAATTAAAAATACTTACGTTTAACATTGAGGCCGACATTCTGTTTAAGAATCTTCGGCTGAACTCAGCTGTATCGTCTCCGCATTTGTCCCTGACAGCAGTTGTTGAGCATTCCATGTACTGTTGGAAAGCACTGAAAAGAACAGTCCAATTTAAGTTACAAAGTTTATATAGTAAAAACTATAATTCTAACATTTATAAGGTTTCTAGACCTACAAAGTAATATTAGATATATTTTCTGTAACTTACCAGCAAACGTTTTTGATTCCTTCATCAGCGATGGCTCTCTTTTTCTTTAATTCACTGGTAACATCAACCATTGCAGCGTCCACTTCAACTTCATATGTATTTGGTTTGAGTTTAGCCATTGATGTGGTGTAGGTCTCAAAACATTTTTCATTTTCAGCTGATATTTGGGTCATGCAAGGCGCATGTCTTAAATATTCTGCAACAATAATAATCAAGGTTAAGAATGTCGGGGAACAGTAACAATAAATTAAGAAAGAGGAGATGCAGCAACAATTTTTTTTCATTAAATATAGCAGATCATATAGAAATGATCCTTATCTTCTTTTATCCTTAAGATATTTAAAGTAATGTGACTTAAATAAATAATGTGACTGAAAAAATAAAACTATATAATACAAACAATGATATTATTATCTACTATTTTTCAGACATGATAGAAAACAGATAAATGCGACAATACAACGCAACCTCAATATTTAATGACGATTTTATTATTATTTGTCATTAAAATTATATAATGAAAGATGTTCAATATAGAATAAATATAAACTATTGTGAAAAAACGAGGTATATCTGGTAATTTTCGTTCAAATTAGGTCTTCCCGGAGATATTTTTCAACTGAGACAATAATAAAGTATCTGGTGATGGTTAAACACAGCGACTACCTCGGGAAAACATTATTAGAACAATCAAGAAAGACTCATGTTGATAGAAAAATGTATCCAAAGAAATGAGGGTAAAAAAAATTGAAATATTTGTTCAGGCGTTATAGAAATAACGTTGATTTTTGAGTAAAAATTAAAAAGACAATTTAAAAACGTTTCTATATAAAAGAATGGATACTGAAAAAACTTATTAATTATTATATAATTATAAATTTTGAACAGAAATTAAAAAGGGTCGAGAGTAGATAATAGTGGCCTACCTACAACCGACTGAAAAGAAACCTCATTAAAGTCAAAGAAAGAACATTAACCCACTACTAGTTTTCAGTAACAGGCTTTAATTTCGTGATCGATAATTGAATTTGAAACTTAAGCATATGCGAATTGAAATTGAACGCGTCGTACATAATCAGGGAATTAGATAAATAAAACATATATTCATATTTCGTTACGGCACCAGAATAGGAAACAATACCATCCTATCACTAATTATAAAACCAAAATTGTCTTTTAGAATTCGAAATTTGCGATATTGTTAATGCTTCAGAGAACAGAAACATTTACATTGTCGAAAAAAGATAAAACCAGACAAAATTGTAAACGAAATAAAATAATATTGAAACATTATTTGGTGGGAAAATAAAACGTGCATAATTGCTAAAATAACAGAGATATCTGAATTATAACCTAAACTCACGTAACCTAAAGAAGAAAAACGAATAAGAAATATCTTTGGATAAACCTTCTACCCTATTTTCCTATGACATATTGCATTCAGTCTGGATTAGATAGAATTTACTGTAAACAATAAAAATGTTGAAATATTGTAAAATGCGTTAAACTACAACAATATATCTTTCTTTGTTTAAATGACTATAAGTTTGTCCTTTGTAGCATATCGTCTTTCATTCAATCGTTTTAAATACCATTTCTTGTAAACTTTGTCGTGACATATTGGCATAAATACGTTACAAATATTGCAGGGAACTTACCTTCTTGATAGCGACCGTTTCTGCATAGTTCATGTACAATTGAGCCGGTTCCACGAAACACTTCCCTGAAATGTTCCCTATCCTCTTTCTTCATGCAGCGCCTTGTGAAATTGTGGATGCACTTGATGGCCGTTTTAAGATTACTGCAAAAAAGGAAATATTTATAATTTTTGTTTAAAAAAAATGATGACAAAATTTGATTGGGTATTAGATGAAAGATTAAGTACTATATATATATTTTTAGCTGCATTTATAAAGTCATTGAACTATAACAATCGTAATCTCAGATTTCCAAGCCAAGATATTCTGCGCATTTCTGATAGTTCCTGAATTTTTATTATTTTCGCCGTTGTGAATATAATCTTTTGGCTTTTTATCCTTCGAGAATTATTTCTTTTGATGTTGATTTACCCATCAGATGTCCATGTCATTAGTGGTTAGTACTTTGATATTTTGTCCTCTTTGATCTGGCATAATTATTACAGAAATTGTAATACAACTCTATATCTATTCTACATGTATTACCATATTTAATAAGAATACTTACGGGCACACTTCCTCCAAGTCCTTGCTATTATTAAAGAACGTTAACCCTGAGTCCGTTAATACTGATAGTGGTTTTGCACATTCGATAAAGTTTTGGAAATTGCATGCCTCTGCTTTGACTTTGGTAGTAAACACTGTAACAAAAATAAAAAAAATAAATATGTAATAATTTTTGTAGCGAATATTGAACAAATTTCAGAACAGACAATTATATACAGTTTTTTCCACTAAAATTTGACCATAACATAAAACATATCTTTTCTGTATCACATACGCAGATATAAAAACTAAGACATCTTAAAGCAAAAGAAAAAATCGGACAAACTAAAAAGATTGGAAAAAATGACATTCATTTACTTTTTAACAAAGTTGTAGAGATAAAATTTTTAATCATCTAACAATAGTAGTTGTCGTAAGTTAGTAAATCAATTTTGCGATAATTTCGAAACCTATACTTTCCAGTGTTGCAGTCATAAATGTTAAATTTTCCATATATGTTCACTGACAATACTATATACGAATTATTATTAATTAATAGAGCCTTGAGCTAATTTTGTAGATTTTCTTAATCATCGCCCAAAAACGCCTACATATTGTTAATAAAACAAAATAAATACATCATCCAATTTCGAAGAATACGTATTTTTCGAAAGGTTTACTTCGTGAAGAGCAAAATCACATTATTATTGTTTGCCTTGATTACAAACAAACCCGGTTGGATTAAGGCTTTATACTCATACAATCCAAAAAACCCCTGTTTTACTAGACATATCTCTCTTTTTATAAACCCTTCGTTACAAATCTTGTTTTCCTAACAATTGGGAATGCCTAATTGAAAGTTTCTGGAATCATCTGTTCTTGATGTTAACTGGGAATTTAGTCGACCTCATGTAGAGATCGTAAAGTAGAGAAATAACAACTTTAGTCTAAACTTGAAAGCTCAAATTACACGAGTAACCTTATTATCCAATAAGAGAAAGAAAAACTCAAAAGTACTAATTTCGTGAAAAATCTACTTAGTTTCTTTTCTAGTTACTTTCGTTCATTTCATGTGATCCCCATTAAAACTAGAATATCTATACAAAACATTTATTTCTCGAAGTTTACTTATCTGTTCATTAAAATTTATATTTTTCCATAAATATAAGGAACTATGTTTACTAATAAGACCCTTAAAAAGTTCATCTACGTATATAAATCTCCGTTACTCTACTAATTAAAATAAACTATTTCTCATGACAAGTTTGTGTAAAACTTGTTGAAAATTTATAAGTAAAATACGGGCCTTCTGGGAACCTTGTTGGTTTCTTGTCCGAGAAAACAACGGAAACCATCTTGGGGTAATGCTGTCTCCCAAAGGAACGAGAAAATTAATGCCAGTTGGAATTTGCTTGATTATTACTTTCGGTATTATTTAGCCTCGGTTTCGGATGTGGGGTCGTAAATTTAACAAAGTTTCTAAAAGTGCGGATTTTCATATGGATCAGGAGAATTAGTATGTACATTAAGATCAAAAAGAGAGAGAAAAGAATTAATTCCCAATGGAAACACTTTCTAGTAGTTTTTGGAAAATATGGTATAACATATTTTATCTACGAAGAATTATACTGTACTCAACTTGTACATTCTACACAGTTTCATAGTATTCAAAAAAATCTACAATCAAATACACATGGAACTAGTTATAATATATAGCAGAGCATGCGACAAAGATTCCTCTATTATCATCAGCCATCGCTTAATATTTATAATAGACCAACAACCAACCAACCAACCAACAATCATCACCTGATCAATGTTTTGGTCACTTTATATTGAACGTCCTATAGAAGGTGAATAGTAACCTAAAAATATTGGTTTTGTAGTCATTTCGATTCAATGCTGTCATTTGATAGGAGTTTTAACTCCTATAAGGCTGTATAAGCTGTTTCTTTTATGTATTTCGCAGCTATGTTCGCAGCTATCGTAAAAAAACTCTTACGACGAATATATATATAGGTATTTTCGTAAATATATTTTAAATTTTTCGGTAACTTCCTTTGGTTTCATTTCCCACAGGTTTTTTGTATCAAATTCTGTATGCGGTATTTGTTCTACTTTCTTGTTCTAGCTAGATACATACGTACTATTCGCTTTGAAAAAGTAAAAGTATGCAATACTTGTGCTGAATATAGTCAAGAAACCTTATATACAGGTATCTATTACATTAATTTCATTTAATATTATCTAAAGAATTGTTCGGATTCCAGTTATTTTTACACCAGGAAATCCAATTAAGTTAAATAAACATCCCTGGACTCCAGGTGGAACACAAGTTATAAAACCGTAATAATGTTAGGATTTTATCTAGAAATGAACGCCAGTGCTGATTTTATCGCCAAATTTGCGTTAAGGTTTTAAATATTGAATAAGTACAGGGTCGCAAGATAAAACTAGTCAAACTTTCCATATCACTCGTATAAAGAAGTATATGAAATATTAGCCAAATATGCTAAAAGGTAAAACAAGGAAAATACATATATTGTCGAATATATACAGATATACAACCAGTATGCCTTAATATTGCGTACTATGGCCTGTATCGTTCAGAATTCTAATTTTATTTTCGGCGCCATTTCCCCATTTTAGTTAAGTTGCTATTTTGTTTCATGGATTATGCTAAATATCGTATTTATTTTCATCGGTAGTCCCCAGACTACTTCCCGATCTGTGATTAATGTCCAAAAGAATAGTGACAAAAACATCTATTTTATTAAAAACGTGACATGAATTTTATAAAAATATTGTGACTGTTGTTATATTGATTTCACACTCAAATAATTCTTAAAACACAGATAAAAATATGTACGAAAATCGAAGAGGACCTTGAACTTCCTCGAAATATGTGCCTTAGGCACGAAACAAATGTTCTATAAATTGAATAAAATAAATAATTCATATTGAACGGAGAAAGTTGTTAACCATAATTAAGATTTTAATTCAACCGAAATAATTTTTACTACTTTCGTCCATGTGTTACAAGAGACAGTACTACAGTATAACACATTGTAGTGCCATTCAAAACCTGGAAGATCGAGAACATAAAAAGACGCTAGAAAAAAAAGAGTGAAAAAAGGAGGTAATCAATTGAAGAGTATACAATATGTAACAATTAACTGTACATGTAATAACTTAAAAATCTTATTGCGGTTACTGTAGTCTGTTCCATCTAACTTTTTCTAAATAATTTTTTCCAATGCTATTTTCGATCGCAAAAAGTTATGAAGGCGATGCATAAAATCTAAAATCCTAATGGTTAACAACTAATATTTGAACTTCAATTTTCCTTTTATGAATTATAATTTTCTATCACATTTGACGTATATCCCTTTCCGTTCTGATAATAAAAACCATATAATCATTAACCAACGACAACGTACACTCGTACGATTTTGATTATCACTGAGATTTATTCGGTTATCTAATCAGATTGGTGCCAGATAAAATGTTTCTAGTTTTTTCCGTTACGTTCATTGACTAAAACAATATAGAGGTCAGGTGTACAGTACCTATTTCTATTGATCCCTAATTAGATCAAAGTTAAACTAAAGTCTTTCATGGAGTCCAAGCATCTACATAAACGTGTCCCTTCTTTCACATATATGACAATATCAAGATTTTTGCCAAAAACTGAATTTTTTATGTATATTCCAATTTTTCCTGTTCGTTCGTAAGTTTGGAATCATCAAAACTTTTAGTTCAAAAATGGTACAAGCATACAGTTAAATAATGCAGAAAAAATCCACAGGAATATGAATTTTTCTCGAAATAAAACATATTGTATATTAGGGTAAAACACCCAGTAGTCAGCCTTTTAGTGAGAATCTTAATTTGTTTCAATTGCATATAAAAAAATAAAGACGTTAAATAAAAACAAATATTTTTATCAGAAACTTTGTTTATTAAATTATCGAAAGAGATTAACTAAATGTTATTATTATGTTATAATTATAAAAAAAAAAAACACTTAACAAAATATTGCACTTTTCACCAGTAGTCAGCCTCATTTCTCCACAAGTCAGCCATGTCTATACCCTATAGTCAGCCACTTACTTATTCTTGCATGTTGGACATAGAAACTCTTTATTATATACATTCTCATAAACGTCACCAACAATTCAGTACATTTTAGATGATACCACGCAGGACAATTGTCACAACCAATATTCTTTAATTCGTTTATTTCTGTGTCACTAGTCAGTTCCTCTTCACACGAGTCACACCTTATTCTGCTCACTGTGCATGTTGTACTATTCTTCCTCTTTTTACTGTTTTTGGACTTCAATAGCCTTTCGGCTTTTCTTTTTTGTAATTCTTCTTTTTTCTTTTCTCTTTCTTTCTCCTTCTTTTCCTTAGCTTCCAGTCTTTTAATTTTTTTAATCAATATATCGTTCTTTTTCTGCTCCTTAATTTCTTCCTTCTGCTTCTCAAACTGTCTCCACTCATCGGAGGAAATGGCTCCTATTCTATTAATAGACATCTTCTTTTTTATGGTCTTAGATGTACTAGGTAAAGTTAAATACTTACCTAACACGGGAGATAGATTTGTTGATTTGACAACAACATTGGACAAGATATTTATTCTGTTTTTGATGATATTTTTGAACTGTCATTTAATTTGTTTTGCATATTTTGTGTATTATTTTCTTGCAAAATATCATTTTCGGTGGGGTTTGGGTTCCTGCAGTCTTGATTTGTTATTTTTATATTCTCCGTAATGTAGTTATGGTTTTCTAAAAGTTCGTCTTCCATTCGATTTTCTTTGTCATCCTCCATCTTATCTTGGTTAATGTTTGTTTCTGTTTCAGATTCCTTAGGTGATATATTCAACTTATCATGTGTCGGAGGTTCTTTGTGACAGTTCAGATCTTCGGGCGTATTTGCATTAAATTCAGCAACTTCTGATGGCTGTGTTTCCTGGACTTCATTTTGTGGTATGACTTCAAATTCGGTTATAATTTCGAAGTCATTTAAGTCACTTTCTGTCAAGTTATTCAAATTATTTTCCAGTGTAGAATCACCTATATTTGGTAAAATTATATCAAAAACTTGAACTGGTTGTGACACTATGTCTGATTCAATATGTGTATGGTTA